TGCATGATAATTAGCTGATTTTTAGCTGTTCCATCACTGTTCCACTGATATCTAAAGAACCACTCATTGGATTTTGATGAAACTTGGCACACAGATGCTCCAAACTAATGCGCAGATTTGATTAGTTTTGGGTAAAAATCTGTGCAATATTAATTACCTAATTTGCATAATGATTAATCAATTTTTGGCTTTTCCACTGATATCTCAAGTACTAATCATCACATTTCAATAAAACTTGGTACATAGATGTCATAGGACACTGCACAAACCTGATAGTTTTTAGGGTAATATCAGTATATATTAATTAGCTAATTTGCATAATTAATTAATTTTCAGCTTTTGATATTTCAAGTAGTAATCATCACATTTCAATGACACTTGGTACATAGATGTCATAGGACACTGCACAGACCTGATAGTTTTTAGGGTAATGCGAGTACATATTAATTACCTAATTTATTATAGCATAATTAATTAATTTTCAGCTTTTGATATTTCAAGTAGTAATCATCACATTTCAATGAAATTTGGTACATAGATGTCATAGGACACTGCACAGACCTGATAGTTTTTAGGGTAATATGAGTACAAATTAATTACCTAATTTGCATAATTAATTAATTTTCAGCTTTTGATATTTCAAGTAGTAATCACATTTCAATGAAATTTGGTACATAGATGTCATAGGACACTGCACAGACCTGATAGTTTTTAAGGTAATATGAGTACATATTAATTACCTAATTTGCATAATTAATTAATTTTCAGCTTTTGATATTTCAAGTAGTAATCATCACATTTCAATGACACTTGGTACATACATGTAGATGTCATAGGACACTGCACAGACCTGATAGTTTTTGGATCATATGAGTACATATTATTTACCTAATTTGCATAATTAATTAATTTTCAGCTTTTGATATATCAAGTAGTAATCATCATATTTCAATGAGACTTACTACATAGATCTTCTAGGATTATGCAGACACCTGATTAGTTTTAATTGGATATTAATTACCTAATTTGCATAATGTTGCACTGATATATAAAGAACCACAAATTGGATTTTAATGAAACTTTTAAAGAGAACTATGCAGAAACCCAATTAGTTTTTGGTAAATATTTATGCTTATTAATCACCTAATGAACATAATTAATTAATACTGATATTAATTACTGATCATCACATTTGAATAAAATTTGGTACATAAAATGCTCTAGGACATTAGACAGGCCTGGTTAATTTTGATTAATATTAATTCTCTAATTAGCATAATAATTCATAATTTTTTTGTTCTGTTCTGTTCCTATAGTTACCTGATTTACATAATTAGTTTTTAGCTTTTCCATCAATATCTCATGTACAAGTAATTTTGAATTAATTTTTAATGTGTCTTCAATACTCTCAGCACATGGGAGTTCTTTCTAAGCTTTCTTTGATTTGCATTATTAGCAATACTATAAACTGCTTTCATTTTGTGAGTGATACATTATCGTGAATCAAAAAAATTACTAAATTTTGGAGCAGTGAAAGTTTTTCTGGGGTTCTGTAATCTTTCAATTGGTCAATATGGATGGCATAAAATTGTCAAATTGCAAAAAAAATTTCAAGCCGCCAAAATTATTTTACATTTTTTTTCATTTCATAGGTAAATTATAAATAATAAATGTACTATAAATGAGTATAACTCAGTGTTTGAAATTTGTCAAATGGTTTATAACAGGTAACTTTAAAAACTTGCCTGCCCTGCTAAAAATTTACCAGCCCTGTTTATGTTTTCAATATTTTATTTGTTTTCAATCGTTTTTCACTATATATCATTCTGCATACCGGTACTTTACAATACACTGTCTGCTTGTTGACAATATCATTGGTAATCATCCACCTGAATTCGGTTCTCTACAATGGGATAATTTTTCATATTCTTTTCGTTTTATCATACATCCTATTCGCCTCTTTGGAGTCGCATTTTACTTTTTGCCTCTTTGCCGTAGGTTCGATTCCCAAGAATATGACTCAACATTTTCATAATACAGTGTAAAAACATAAAGCGAAATATGTCAACTCAAGGTTGGGTCAGCTGGAACTCTCG